GGCGACGGGCGACGATCAGCTCCTCTCCGGTGATTGGTTCTCTCTCAACGGGAGGCTAGCGGCTAGGCTTTGGGTTCGGTGTGAAGTAAGATATTTATATCCGTCTCTCTTAAATCTAGTTCGTTCATCGCGTTTGATCTCGACAGTCTGATCGCATTAAAAAAAGAAATGAATCTGGACCGTTCATTACAATTTGATCTCGACTATATGATCGCATCTAAAGAGGGAACGAATCTTGGCCCTTCATCGCATTTAATCATGACCGTCCGATCGCGACTTAGGAGGGAACGGGTCCGGACCATCCACGCACGCGAGAACACATCTGGGTTGTCCAATTGCAGGCACGCGGATTACCAGCGTGGCCTCCCGTGTGGCACCGAATCAGCGTGTCTTACCACATAGCACGCTCCGGTTTAGCGGAGCTACTGTTAGGCGGTTCTACGTGGCATATTTTTTCTTAATTGTATTTTGACCTCCAGTTTCTGATTTTTTTTCAAAAATACCTTACGAATCTAAATTTTCACAATTTTTTCCCAAAATAGTTTTTAATTTCATCATCTACCTTTTTTTTCCTAATTTTACATTAAATACAAATTTATAAATTTATAAATTATATTTATAAATTTTTTTATAAAAAAATTAATCTCGGGTCAAATCTCGGGCTATTAAAACTCTCCCCCTTTAAAAGAAATTTAGTCTCTCAAATTTGTCCCTCTCTCTCTCAATCAAACAGTTGGGGATACTGGGTTCTGAATTTTGATTCTAGGTCCCATGTGGCCTCTCTTTGTGTGTGATTTTTCCATAAGACCTTAACGAAGAGAATTTTTCGGTTGCGGAGTACTCTGTTCTTTCGGTCCACAATACCCACCAGTACCTCCTCGTAGGATAGATCGTCCTAGAGTGAAAGGGGCTCGTGCGCCAAGATGTGAGAGGGATCCGGGTTGTACCTGTGTAGTATGGATACATAAAACACATTATGGACCCTAGATAGTTCTGGAGGTAGTGTCAGTCTGTAGGTGGCAGTGTTAATTCTATCTAAGATTTTAAACGGTCCAATAAACTGGAGATTTAGTTTCCTCTTCTTGCTAAACTTACTGATTCTCTTGAAAGGAGTGACCTTAAGGAACACCCGATAACCTTTCTCAAATTCCAATTCCCTCCTCCGGTTATCCGCATAACTCTTTTGCCTGTTCTGAGCCGTCTGCATATTTTTCCTAATCTTAACTATTTTGGCTATAGTCTCTTCCAAAAGATCTGGACCGAATAATTTTTTATCACCCACCTCTTCCCACAGATCGGTGATCTGCATGGGCGACCATATAACGTTTCATACGGGGTCGTGCTGATACTTGCTTAGTAGCTGTTATTGTAGGCAAACTCTATTAAGAGTAAATAATCATCCCAATGGCCCCTGAAGTCAAGAACACAAGCTCAGAATATATCCTCTAGTGTGCGGATCGTCCTTTCTTATTGTCCATTTATTTGAGGGTGGAATGCAGTACTAAGGGACAATTTTATTCCTATGGCTTGCTAAAAACTAGACTAGAACCGAGAAGTGAACATGGGTCCCTGTCGGATACTACTATCACTGGCATTCTAGGTAACCTAACTATCTCCCAGATATTACATTCTTACTAGTTTGTCCAAGGGGTCGGTCATCTTTATGACCAAGAATATATCCTCTAGTGTGCAGATCGTCCTTTCTGATTGTCCATTTATTTGAGGGTGGAATGCGGTACTAAGGGACAATTTTGTTCCCATGGCTTGCTGAAAACTAGACTAGAACCGAGAAGTGAACATGGGTCCCTCTCGGATACTACTATCACTGGCACTCCATGTAACCTAACTATCTCCCGGATATTACATTCTTACTAGTTTGTCCAAGGGGTTGGTCATATTTATGACCAAGAA